TGGAGTCTCGCTCTGTTGCCCACGCTGGAGTGCAGTGGCACAATCTTGGCTCACAGCACGATCTTGGCTCACGGCAACCTCTGCCTCCCGGGTTCAACCAATTCTCCTGCTTCAGCTTCCTGAGTCCCTGGGATTACAGGCACCCACCACCAAACCCGACTAATTTTTTGTATTTTCAGTAGAGACAGGGTTTCCTCATGTTGGCCAGACTGGTCTCAAACTCCTGACCTCAAGCGATCTGCCTGCCTCGGTCTCCCAAAATGCTGGGATTACAGGCATGAGCCACTGTGCTCGGCCTGTAAACCTAATTTCCACATGCACTGGGAAACCACGAAATTCGCGTGACTTGCTGTGTTGCCGTGTCCCTGATGCAGTGGTCTGGAGCTTGTCTGCAGGGCCTCTGAGCTGTGCCCAAGTGAGGCCCCACTGTGCTCTGGAAATGGCACCCAGCTGCTGCTACGAGCGACCTTCGAGGGCAGCGGGGGACAGGAGCCAGGGTGCTGAGGCACTTCTTTTTCCGGCCATATTTTAACCTTTTCACGAAATGTACATGGTCACTTTTTAAACTGTCAATATTAGAGTGAGATTTGGGGGCATTTTTGTTCTTCTTTATACTCCTTTGCATTAAAATAAATCACTGCTTGTAGTTTTTATAGTGGGAGATAAACACACACACATATGAAGGCAGGCTGGACCCAGAGCCAAGACCATGAGAGGCACACACCCTGCTGTGGCCAACACTCCGTGGCTTGTGGCCACATCACTCCAGTCTCCGCCTCCATACTGCTTTCTCCTCCGCTGCGTCCAATCTCCTTCTTCTAAGGATGCACATGACTGTGACTGCACTTAGGGCCCACTGGGGTAACCTGGGAGTGTCTCCATCTCAAGCTCTCCTGTCTAAGATGCCACGTCCAGCTGGCAGGGATCCCGGTCAACTCTGCGGGTCCAGTGGACAGGACAGACTTTGGGGAGGAGCTGCAAGAATGGCTGATCCCAAGGGAGTGCTACTGTCTGTCCATGTTGTCAGGGTGGTTCAGGAATTACCTGTGGATGCCAGAGCGGTCGCTGCACCCCACCCACCCCCAAATGGTGGGACAGGGCCGGGTGAGGTCTGGGCAGGCACCGTGGGAGCCACAGCCAGCACTGGGGTCAGACGGGGTCAGGTGCCGACCCACTGCAGGTGTGGCCTCCCAGGGTGCTGCAGAGGACATGATGGCCAGGCCCCAGCGCCCACACCGGGCAAGGGCCACCCCAGCGTCCTCACGGGAGCCACCCCTGTGCAACCTCAGGGGTCTGACCCATTTCTCAACACACAAACTTCACGTCCTCACTCCTTCCAGATTCCTGCAGCGGGTAAGGGCTGGGGCCCTGTCCACAGGGAGAGGCCAAGGCCAGAGCAGTCCCCACTCCTGGGCAAGGTGGACCAGGATAGGGCTGCACTGGTCCCCAGGGAGATGGCCTGACTCACCTGGATCAGGCCTGCTGCGGGGTTCCGCCTCTTCTCAAAGTGCTTCTGCCGATGCTGCTCCTGAACCTTCAGGGCAAAGCCAGACCCCAAGATGCCCTGCAATTCATCAGGGTCAGGCCACACCCCAGGGACCCCACACCCCCAATTCATTGGAGTCAGACCACACTCCAGGGACACCCCCAATTGATCAGAGTCAGGCCACACCCCAGGGACCCCACGCCCTCAATTCATCAGAGTCAGACCACACCCCAGGGACATCCCCAATTCATCAGAGTCAGACCACACCCCAGGGACACCCCCAATTCATCAGGGTCAGGCCACACC